ACACGGAGGGCAGTGCCAGAACTCGTGGCACGAGTCCACACAAGTGTGCGCATGTGTTTTGTGGTGCCTCAGTGGCTTTTGAGGTGCTGCAAAACGCACCCCACACAAATGATTTGGTTTTCTGCGCTGCATATTTGCACAATATAAACTTGCATCTTAGAATCTGATTGTAGGAACAGGAACAAAGAATTTCTCCTATCTTGTATAACCGCCTTGTCTGCTACTTGGTTTTAAAGTGTTCGTTTTGTGCAGCTTGTCTCCCTGGGTGGTGTTAGTTAGGTGAAGTCAGGTTCCCCATTTGACTGCAGTGACATTGAGGTAAAGCATTTGGTAAAGCATATTAGTAGTACTCCCTTTACTCCTGCTTTTCTGACGGATGTCTAAACAATGAAAACTGTATCTTGCATGCTGTGAGATAAAACTTGGAAGTTGGAGTATTTTTTTCCCCTGTTGCCTTTGAAACTGCAAAATTGATATGTCGTTTGTTTGGACTTGCATGTTTTTTGCCAATGCCTGCTTATGGTGTTGAGCTTAATACCCAGAGAGAACACCCCATTTGGAGAAAGTGTTTGTTAGAGAGGCATGATATATTGGTTGCCTAGCAGATTGGCACCAATAAAAGGGGAGATTACATTATCAGCTCTTGGCCTTTTTTTGGCATTGTAGCTGATGTTTACCAAAAATTATGTCTTCTGGCCAGGGCCCTGGACATCTGGGTTCCCTCTCCCCTCTGGGGCCGGGGCCCCCAAATGCCTGGGTTCCCTCAGGAAATGGCAGGTTTCCCTTGCAGGTGGGCCACATTTTAGCCTGTAAGGGGTCCTGCTTGGGGTTGGCGGGAGCAAGACGCAGGGGGTGCTGCATGTGTGCAGCTGCTGCACGCATGTATGTGGCTAGGTATATAGCCAGGCAGCGCGGAGAGCAGCTCCCTCCAGGTAAGTCTATGGAGGGGAGGGGAAAGGGGGGCAGATTGAAGTCCCCGTGGTGAGGGAGGGAGTGGGGCTGGGGATGGGGATGGCACTACTGCCCAGCCAGGGCGGTGCATGGGACCTGGGGCCAGAGCAGGATGGAGCCATGGGTGACTCATCCAGTGGGCATGGGGCCAGCTCCCTGCCACTGTGTGCAACCCCTGGAGGAGGCATGGGGGGAGCACGTCCCCCCGCAGACTTCTGTGCAGGCTGGATGTGGGCTGCTCACTGTCAGCTCAGGGCTCTTTGCTTTGCTGCCTTCCCTTGGGAGCCCTCTGCTGGCTGCATGCCCCCTGCCCATCTGGCAGCACTGGGGGCAGTGAGTTGTGCCCCCCCACTGCTGAGTGGGCAGGGGGTGTGTGACTGGTACGGGGCTCCTGGGGCAAAGGCAGCAGAGCGGAGGGCCCTACACCCGCAGTGGGCAGCCCGCATCTGCCCTCACCCTGCTCGGCTCTGCCCTGCTTAGAAGCATTCCTGTGCTTTAAAATGGTGGTGGCAGTGATTGAGCTAAATCTTATTCGACGTTTCTAAGCTCTGGGACACTGATACACATGACGCACCAAAAAAAATGGTTTGTTTATGTTATCGGATCAGCATCAGCTGATACGGCTGGTTAATAATCGGCTATTGGTATCGGATAAGAAAATCTTTATCGGTGCACCCCTAGTGTTCATTCTCAGTTCTTCTGTGCAATTTAACTTTCTGTCAGGAGCAAAACAAACAGGATTGGTTCATTGTGGATTTGAGTGCAAAGAAAACCTAGCCTTGTATTTGGGTTTTCGTACAAACTGTCTAGTGTCCAAGACGAAAAAACCCCAGGCCCCTTTATGGGGTATGGAGGATGCACTAGTCCTGGGCTTAGCTCCCTTGGCTTAGTGTATGGGTTATAGCCAGGCTCAGCTTTACCTTTGGTAGAAATGTTCCCTCTCTGCAGTGAGGTCACAGGCTAAGTAGCTGCAATTTTGATATTCCTCCAGTGCCATTTCACTTTTCTCTTTGAAGAATAGATAGGTTCTCCCAGAGTGATGAGGAAAGAATCTTCCAGTGTCTCAGCACACAGAGAAAGTAGGGTAGGTTTGCACCTTATAGGCTAACTAAATCAGAGATGCATAAGCTTTTGAAAACAGCAGCATCTGATGGTGAAGCTGATGCAGTGCCTGATGAAGTAAGCCTCCACTTACAACAACTTATGCATTTCTGATTTAGTTAGCATCTAACGTGCAAATCTACTCTACCTTCTGCCTGACTTCAGACTAACACAACACAGAGTCCTGAGAAATGTCTTGGGTGAGTATTGAACCAAGGAGTATACACTGAAATAGGTGTGTGTTGCAGTGGGATCGCAGTACTTTGGTGTTCAGAATCAGGTGCAAGTACCTGAACAGACTGAAGCGAAGACACCATTATTGGAGATCTTGTCTAAATGGCATTTTTACTGCTTTTAATTATAGTGACATATGTAACTCAGTCAAACTGGTATGAAAGTGCTTATACATGGAGAACAGCACCCATGTTAGGAGTTGCATAGTAGAACTGCTTCTAATCAAGAATTACAGTGGCGCAAAAGTGGTCTGCGGGCCATACCTACCAGAACTTCCAGTAGCAAATTGGAAAAGTGTCTGAGATGGCAGAGTTCTCATGTCTTCTTGATTGCTTTACAGCTTGTGATTTGAGTCATATGCTCCTCTTAATATGCATATGAGTCATGCAGGGGGAAGTGCGAAGGAGATTTGTTTTCTTGGACTTGGCCAAGCCTATTGATAAATCAGCAGTGTTGGTATTAGAGTTAGCGAAAAGCAGTAGAAGTGCAAGGGGGGATTTCAGTCTATGAAAAGTAAAGTGTTGTTTTTTTTAAGTTTGTAACTATCACTGTAAAAGTAGTTAAAGTATATTTAGTGTAGGCCCTAAATGCATTTCAAGTCATAACAAGATAAAG